TGTATGTTATGATAAATATAAAAACATATATTTTAGAAGAATCCTGTATGTTATGATAAATATAAAAACATATATTTTAGAAGAATCCTGTATGTTATGATAAGTATAAAAACATATATTTTAGAAGAATCCTGTATGTCAACAAGTACTTCTGGATTTAAACCTATGCAGGTATATTGTGTTTAAATATTTCACAAAGTTGAACAAAAGCAACGCCCATGATGTAATTGATTTGTGTTTATTAATAAAAGAAATAGAAGTTGTTGTATCTCAAGGTTATTGTATCTCTAGGTTGTTGTATCTGTAGGTTGTTGTATCTCTAGGTTGCTGTATCTCTAGGTTGTTGTATCTTTAGGTTGTTGTATCTCTAGGTTGTTGTATCTCTAGGTTGTTGTATCTCTAGGTTGTTGTTGTATCCCTGGGTTGGTGTGAACTAGCAGAGGAAGATCTAACATCAGAGAACAGCAGTAGAGCAGTCAATAGGTTAGAGAGAGAAAAAACCTTCTTTTCCTCAATTATTTATGTAAAGGCATTAAGTCTTTACGAAAAAATCTGATGTTCAAATCCCAATATCTTTGCTTCCCAAATATTAAGGTTTACTTTATCAGGTTGCAAAATATAGAGATTAGTAAATTTTAATTTGTGGCAAAGACTTAATTACATTTGAAGATGGTGTTTTAATTTTTTTGGTCCTTTTTTTCTCATTTTGAATTTCACTTTAAATCAATAAATCTGAAAGACCAGACTTAAATCTTATTTGAATAATAAATGCTTTTAAAAATAAACTTACAACAGACGAAAATATTTTGAAGATGTTTTCAGTATGATAAGAATCAGGAATGACTGTCGCGGAGACTGAAGACTGTTTAAAAGTCGTCATTTAGTTTTTATGTATTTTGTTCCAATCGTTTCTGCTTTCTTTCTGATTTTCTTTCCATAATGAAAATGACTAAAACATTCTTCTTCTTTTTTATCTATTAGTGCATTCAATAATTGAAAACCAGACTCTTTCATGGGCATATTTAATAAATTAGTTTTAACGTTTTTTCCCAGAAAAATACAAAATTGGACAAAAACTTTCTACATTTTGTGGTTACTTTTTAAATCATCTTTTTTCTCTGAAAGTTCAAGATCAGAAAAAAAAATCTCTAAAAGGGGGAAGTGTATCCCTGTACAAAAACTGGCGATTGTACTTTGTTCCCTAAACCGAACAAAAATACCATAACTTTTATATTTAAATAAATTAGAAATGATTAATGATAACCTTGAATAATGCTTTTTATAAATTTGATATGATTAATAATAATTATACTTACACTAATCAAAAATAAGTAAGCGTGAATAAAATTTATCATAATGCAATCAGAAAACAGCCTGTTTCGTAATACTTGAATATCGATTCAGGGCCGGATAATCTCGAAATATATATTTATCTTAAACCAGTAATTTAACAGTTTTAATTTAATGAAATTGCTAAAACCTTCAAATTCAATATTAGCGTTTCGCCGGTGTTATTTATTCTCTCGAAAAACAATCCCAAAAAATATCGCCAGCTCGACAGTAACCTTTTTTTCAAGTCTTTTAATGAAAAAATCATAATGTTTCAAATGCCTGAAAGTCCCATTGTTTTTATTGTTTTGCCAAAGCTTCCAAATCACCATATTTCCCGCTGCTTTAAAGGGACTGTAAAGGAAAAATGAAAGGGGTTAGAGGCTGAAACCTAAGCATTTTAAGAATTGATCGATTTTCATAAGAGTTCTATCTGATGTTCCTTTCTCAAGAAGGTTTAAATAGATTATATTCAGCAAATACGCTACCAATCTGAAAACGACCATATCCCAGAAAGTCTAAGTAACTTAAGATTGCTCCTATTATTATTTGAATTTAATAATTTTTCTTTTTTAATAGATATAATTGATAATATCATTTTTAAGTCCATATTACGTATCCAAAACTCTCACCAATGGGCAATGGCAGTGCAGTATACTGGTCACATGAAACAGACGGAGACACGTGTCAAAAATACTACACTGCCATTGGTAGCTATGATCTCAGCGATCTAAAAAATCTTTGAATCGCTGATCGTAAAAGATCAACAAAATCACACATTGTTACAATACTACACTGCCATTGGTGGCAGTTCTGGTCACGTGATATGGACGTAATAATTATATTGTCAATTTTATATATATCTATTAAAAATGGAAAGTTATTAAATTCAAATAATAATAAGAGCAAACCTAAATTACTTAGGCTCCTCTGGGATTTGGTCGTTTTCAGATTGGTTGCGTATTTGCTATATTTAAACTTACTATTTTTATACAACATTTTATATATTTACATAGATTTTCGTAAAACTTTTCCAAAATTTTAAATCAATTTCTCGAGACAGGAACATCAGATAGAACTCTGATGGGTCTCGGCCAACTCCTAAGTTGTTTAGGTTTTTAGCCTTTACTCCCTTTAATTTTTAATTTACATGAGACTTTTGATAGTTTTCATGTTAGAAAAACTATATTAGCAAAATACTTAGATAGACACATGATTTTCCCTTTAATCCTAAAAATTGCCATTTAAGTATAAAATAAATGTTAAATTCCTTTACAAGACTTTAAGAATATATTCCTCATACAAAATAGTCATTGACTAAGGAAAATAAAAAACATCTCCTCTTTTTGGATTTACTCAATCTTCAAAATGATTTAGGTGTACAAAAGGGCCTCTTCTTCTTCTTTTCCCAGCAATACTTCTAAAACTAATCCGCCAATATTTTAGAATTAAACTGTTAAATTTCAGGTGTATTGTCGAGCTAAGCAACAGGGAAGCTAATAATCAGGTTTTTTTTCATATTATTCAATAGCACATTTCTTGTATTATCTTTTATGTATAAATTTATTCTCTTATTAATATCTATATAAAGAGGGACCAATAACAAAAATAATAAAGAAAGGAATTGAGTTTTTGCCACAAACTCTGATTTTCTCATCCTTGTAACTTTACAGCAATATTTCAAATTATGAATCATATTAGTCCAAATAATCTAAGTTAGAAATATCAAAGGTTTACACCATCAGGTTTCAAAGATTTATAGGGATTATAAAATTTGGGGTTGTGGCAAAAAATCAGTTCCTTTGCTGCATTTTCTTGCATATATTTATGGAGACGTCCAAATGTTAAGTAATCAGAAGCGAGTCCAAAAAATTGCTTCTTAAATGTTTATTGGCCAATGTCAAAATAGCAAGATTTATCATTAAACTTGTTTAATGTACCCTAGGAGAGGGTTGGAGTATGGGGAGAAGGTTTAGATCTTATCCTGGAGCTGGATGAAGGTTCTCTCAAGCTCTTGGAGTCAGATACAGGACGGGTTCTCAACTCTCAACCGATCCATGCTATCAGGTTTGCAGATATCTTGTATTCTTCAAACTTTAAAGGAATTGAGTCTCTGCCACAAACCAAATTTTGCCATCTCATGTCGTTAACCTTTGATATTTCATTCTATGGATTCTGTGTGATAAAATAATCCTAGATTGAAATATCAAAGGTTTTGCATCAGGTTGCAAAGATATAGAAATTAGAAAATTTGAGTTTGTGTCACTGACTCAATTCCTTTCCAGACCTGATAATTACAGGAAGGCATTTTGTAAAAACTCGGCACTTTATTGTAAACTTTATAAAGCCCTTGCATCTATTTTCTTTTCATTAATTATATCCCTAATATATTGAGGAAAAGAAGATGGAATTAGAATATAAATGTATTATGATAATATTGAATATCCGGTGGTGCATTGTTTTATCACCTTTATTTATTGTTGTAAATATGTTTCCTTTTTTCATTATTAATATTTAATCAATCATCTTCCCATACTTTATAATTGGAGAGATGAGGGGGGATAGTTTCCCTTATTTACCACAGAAAAATGGATAGAAAGGAAAAGAGAGAAAGTTATGTTGTGAAAGGGAAAGGGAGAAATTTATGTTGTGAAACGGAAAGGGAGAAAGTTATGGTGAATTGAAAAGGAAGGGGGTTATGGTGTGAAAGGGATAGAGAGAAAGTTATGTTGTGAAAGGGAAAGGGAGAAAACTATGATGGGAAAGAGAAAGGAGTAAGTTAAGGTGGAAAGGGGAAAGGAACAGATTACGGAGAGAAATGAAAAGGAGAAGGTTAGGGAATGAGGGTGAATAACCTGTTAGGAAATGATAAGAAAGGAGAAGGTTGCAATGAGATTGAGAAAGGAGAAAGTTAAGGGGTGTGAGGAGGAGAAGGGGGGTGGTTGTAATGTTAGGAAATGAGAGGAAGGAGAAGGTTATGGGGCCTAGTTAGGGAATGAGAGAAATAAAAGGAGAAGGTGGGCGGGAAGGAGGTTAGGGAATGAGAGAAAGGAAAAGAGAAGGTGGGGTGGGGGATAGGGCATGGAAAGAGAAAGGGAAGGAGACGGAATGAGTGTGAAAGTGAGGAGGAGAGGGAGGGGAGGTAGGAGAAGAATAGAGAATGATGTGGCAAGAAAGGGATACTTTATCTTTGTCTGCTCTTGTATTATTCATTGGATTCAGGATAAAGGAATAAACCCTTTTCTCTTCAATACAATACAAACCTACAGTCAATGAGAATAGAGCTGAGGAGGGAAGACTTTTACTTGAATACAATTCTAGATCTAATTAAATTTATTTCTTAACGTATTTCTTCTTTTTTGATCTGTCCTAATACGTCACTGTGTAATAGTAAATTAACAAATCCTTTATTCCTATCATAGATAAATTAAAATAATATATAGGCCACTAGATATCGTCCTTTCAAGATTAATGGGTTTTTCGTTCACAATAACTGAAGCAAAAGCTTAAAGGAGATACGCGCAGTCGGCGTAAAACAGGCTCTCTCTCTGTCTTGTAATTCTGCAGAGATAAAACCTGTTCTACGCCAACTGCGCGTAACTCTTTGGGCTAGTGCCTCAGTTTTATTGTAAACGAAACACCTCTAAATCTTGAAAAGACGACATTTAGTGTCCCATCTGTTATTTTAATTAATCTATGATTCCTCCTCTTAGTTCTGATACTCCTTGCTTACTCTCTGAAAGTAAACCTCTTTTTTTTTATCTTTCTATAACGTTCAAAACTACATCAGATTTAATCTCTTTATCTTTATCTTTTATTTGTGTATATTTTATTATATCAGAGTATATTTTATTTCCCTTAGATCTTTATTCTGTTCTCTTTGGAGTTTAGAAGACTAATAATTTTCTCTAATAAAGTTTTCAACGCATTTTTCTGAAATTCAAACTTAACTTTTACGCTGAAAAAAATTTGAAAGGTTCAGGGAATAAGTTAGCTTTGATTAAAAAGTTTTGTTAGCTCTGACTTATCCATTTAAAATAGAATTTAGTCACTTTGATAAAATTAATTTTATTGGAAATATTTTTATATTTTTAGCACTGATTTATTTATCCTGCTACTGGTGATATTTGTTTCTTCTTGGGAATATATTTATGCTATTAAGGAATATATTGATGATATTTGGGAATATATTGATGATATTTGGGAATATAAATGATGATATTTGGGATATATTGATAGTATTTGGAAATATATATATGTTTTTAGAATATATTGATTTTATTTGGGAATATATTGATTTTATTTGGGATATATTGATGCTATTTGGTAATATATTTATTCTATTTTAGAATATAATTGATGATATTTGGGATATATTGATACCATTTGGAAATATATTTATTCCTTTTGAGAATATATTGATTTTATTTGGGAATATATTGATTTTGTTTGGGATATATTGATGCTATTTGGTAATATATTTATTCTATTTTAGAATATATTAATTTTATTTGGGAATATATTGATTCTATTTGGGAATATATTGATTTTTTTTGGATATATTGATGCTATTCGGGACTTTATTGATGATATTTGGAATATAATTGATGATATTTGGGATATAATGATACTATTTGGGAATATATTTATTCTATTTTAGAATATATTGATTTTATTTGGGAATATATTGATTCTATTTGGGATATATTGATGATATTTGGGAAAATATTGATGATATTTGGGATTATATTGATGATATTTGGGAATATATTGATGATATTTGGGAAAATATTGATGATATTTGGGATTATATTGATGATATATGGGATATATTGATGGTATTCGGGATTATATTGATGATATTTGGGATATATTGATGGTATTCGGGAATATTTTGATTATATTTGGGAATATATTGATGCTATTTGGGAATATATTGATGATATTTGGACATACGTAAAAAATTGAAATTGCATTTTTCTTTCTTTTTTACATTTTCCAATTGAAAATATAATTTTCCCGTAATGATTAAAAAATAAATTTTTCCTTTAAATAATTTTTTTAATGAAAAATACAAACGAAATACAATCTCAAATTTTCCTTTATCTTTGCAGCCCAATTGATCTAAGAGAATTCACAGGTTAAAATATTAAATGTCTACGATATCATGTCGCGAAGATATCGAAATTAAAAATCAGAGTTTGTAGCAAGAACCTAGTTTCATGAAAGGGACTGAAAGTGTAAGTTCAAGTGACCCACCATGCATAGATGAAAATGTACAGTTTTCTACGGTTCCCGTGAAACCTTAATCTGGTAAAATGTTGATGACAACGTTTTTTTTTCAACTCTAAAAGTGTTTATTTCTGTGAAATTCCTCATTATTTCTTAAAGGTTAGAAATGCACAAGTCACTTTTACCAAGAAACCGCAAATGAAAAGAAAGAGTTAAAATATTTAAAAACACGCATTATATCTAGTTCAAAGCTGATCAGACAAGGGTACGTATTGCTATCTTCACATGGAGTGTACTTGAAATTACGCTATACATTCTTTTTAAAAATGTCTAATGTAGTTAGAATGATTTTGATTAATTAAGAGTATTGTTCTTAATAATTGATTACTTTTTTACTCTCACTAAAATTTGATACTTTTCCTCAATCAACTTATTTAAGTGCAATAAAATTCCTGGAAACGTTTTGATTATAAAAAAGCCGACTCGATTTTTTTTGAAAAATCTGGTTTTTGAAATAAGAGATTATGCAAATAAATATAAAGAAGCTCAATGAATATTCAATCACGGGCAGCCATAGTACATTTGAATTTCCGAGCCGGGTCAACTTTTCCGGTCACAGTTTGTACTGTACCTAGCTCTATGGACAGGACTAGCCGGTGCAACAAGGTTGACGCGGACAGACTTTATGCTTAATATAGGCTGAATTTACTTTTACTAAATATAATAATTATAATATAATATAATAATTTTGAATATCTAAATGCGTAAATAAATCTGAATATTAAAAATAATAATACTAATTGTGTTCTAGAGTGTGGGGAGTAGGGCGAGACAATGGTAAAGATTTTGCCTACGTATCCAGGGATAAAGTTACAAGAAAGCATGTTTGCCATGTATTCAGGTAAATAAATATACAAACAAGAATTTTAATACGTGTAGCCTTCAAACCTCTATCTCAGGAACTTTGAGGAAAATATCCTTGTTTTTCTCTCTCACATTTTCCATCTTTCTCCGGCCTTCAGCAGAAATCGACAGACTTCTTTTTAAACAAAATATTTCTGATAAAAAAGTCCGGATATCTCATCTTAAAGAATACCGTTGTGAATCGTAAATAACACTCTAAAAAATTGAAAAATTCATCCTGCGGTCGTGACTTTAAAAATGGGAAATTGTGGAGTTTCCAATAAATGACGAGAAAACTGTCAATTTATCTCTTATACACCCTTCAGCCCTTTAGAACTTTAAACCATTCAATTTACACCGGGTAAAGCAAGGTGTTTTAACAAGGTTGGTTATTCTGGAAAATGTCTCCTTAGCAGATAGATAGATAGAACCCCCCCCCACCCCACCCCCACTCTATACTCACACATCTACACAGTTCGTTTTTAATCTTTGTGAAGAAACAATCTCAAGGAATAATAATTGTCTTAAAACATTTTTTTAAAAGTGAATATTTGCAAATTATCTTTTTTCCATCTCATAATCTGAGTTCGTTTCCCTTATGTCCATTTGACAGCCCAAATTTTTGTTCTGAATAATCTTTTTTGTTTGTTTATCTTCTTGTGATTTTTTACATTTTTAAATTTTTTTTATCGATTTTGATGGTTATTTTATTGTTAGAACTGACGAGGGTCAACCCAGACCGAAATATATTTTCAATAAATGTGGAACTAACATCTACTTTTTTACTCTACAGAGGTTTGGTCCATCACCATCACCGAATTTTAAATCCTCATATGACGTCACGCTTGCCTCTATAATCAGTGACATCATATGCGGATTCTATCTATCTCTGCTATGGAGACGAAATTTTCACTGATTACAGAGGCGAGCGTGACGTCATATGAGGATTCTATCCATCTATGCTAAGGAGTCGACTTGTCCGTACATCGGAGCGCATAGAGAGTAACCAACCTTATTAAAGAACCTTGGGTTAAAGGGACAGTTACAAATTTGGACTAAATCAGCTGCTATTGTATTTAGATGCGAGGTAGCTGCTAGAACAATAGCAAACGCTCTACGGGATATTTGTAAGAAGATTTTAATAGAACGGTCATTAGCACAGTCATCAAGCAAACTTACTGAGAAATTAGTTTCATCAGATAGAAGGTAAATTGTGATATACAGGGTGTCACATAAAAATGATTGTAACATCAAAAGTATGAGGCCTTTTACAACTTGAAATAACTGAAACAAAGAGCTTTCCAACGACACCTTGATTGTAAAAATTAAACAAAAATTGTCCCCTCAGCACCTAATACCCTACTGCAAAGTTTTTTTGGGACATCCTGTATTCAAATCATTATCTGAGCCAGGGGGTGCGCTAAGCTATGGTGACCCTGAAAATTTTTTTTAAAAATACTAAATCTGAATGTTTTTCCAAGAATGAAATGTATTCTGTGAAACTAAATGGAAACGTTAAAAAGGTTTTATTTTGATACAATATTTAAATTGGGAAACTTGAATTCTAATGGTGACTTTTAAATTCTATTCTATACATACTTTGTTTAAAAACTTGGAACTCTTTAACCTTGATAAAGTTAAATTCTACTGCTGCAGATATTTTACATCTTTATTTCATAAACTTTCAGATAAAATATAAAGGGATTATACGTTATCTGCATTTAGTTCCTCCAAGCTTTGTTGTAATCCCGAAAACTTGAAATAAATTTTTGCTGAAAAAAATGTCAAAAAAAGTATAGATGATTTTCATCCTGAACATAGATCACATTTACAACTGTTGTTTTGCAAAAAAAAGTTTCACGTTTTTATTACAAAATTGTATCAAAGCTGTAAAAGTTTGTGCAATCTTTGGTCTGGTTAATCATTTTAAAATTTGGTAAAACTTTTGGAACAAAAAAGGCATTTTGAGGTTTAGAAAAAAAACATTTTTATGCTTCTTTTTGTGGGTCACCTAATATTACTTTAAAGAAAACTTACGTTCTAGTTATAAACATATATTTGAAGAGCTTCCTGCCCCCCCCCCCCCCCTCGTCTTCCCTCTTCCTTACTTATCCAACACCTCCGACCCCTCAATGATCCAAACCTAAAACAACTTTGTGGTGTTTATCTTTAAACTGAAGGGTTTTTTTTAAGTTTGAACGTTTTTTAAACTGAATGTGTAGTTTTTAATCTTTTTGAAAAAGCCGATGAAACGAACCTAACTTAATATTAAGAATAAGAATTTAAATTATTTAAATTTATAAGGTAAAGAAATTAGTTTTTACAATTAGAAAAGAAAAGGATTGAAATAAATAATAAATCAAAAGCAAACAAAGCAGTTCCTAGATCCGAGCATGGGTTAGTAGAATACAGGGCGAATACTTATTAAATCTTTACAAATCTTTGAAAATCTTAATAAAACTTTAGTAGTGAATTAAAACATCCTTATGACCATCATCCAAAATTAAATTGCTATCCATATATGTATATATACATTTTCTTTGCTTTTATTTTTTATTTATTTTACTAATGAAATACTTGATATACAAATGAAGTAACATTATGATAAAAATATTCACTTAACAATATTACTTAAAATAAATGTTATACAAGAAGCAGTTTTCTTCGTAACATACTTTTCTAATATAGTTTATGTTTTGTTATGGTGTATTAACAGAACTTGCTTAGGAGATGATGGAGAGGATGGGGGGGGGGCGGGCTCATAACTATACTCTTAATGAGATAAGAACTTCAGGACTTGTCAAATATTTGGATTCTTGAAGACGATATTTTGAGGGGGAGGGTTTAATCTCAAACTTTTTGTAGTTTTGCTGAACCCC